AAAACGGTAATACAAACAAGGGATCAGATAATGATATGAAGAAGATGATCGGTGAAACCCTCTTTGATATACCGTGAACTATTACAGAATGATGAGCGCTAAGGCTGATAGTTCGAATGCAAAAGTTAACGCAAACCTAAGCCTTACACGTATATTTATAGGCTAAGACAGGTTTGCGTAAAGGCTGTTAAGCCAGGTATATGGGCCTAACAACTTAGGCCCCATTACCTTTACTACTCTAATAAATACACACAATTAATACATCAAGTAGTAATAAAGGCTATACTAAGACAAGACTATTGATTCACAATAAATATTTTTCAACAATCTCCCCCTTTGTGATCAAGTGACGTCTTGCTTTCTTTCTGAGCTCTAAAGTAGTTTTTCTTGTGATTTAGTGTGTGCTCATATTGCCTGAGGATGTTTCTCTTTTCTAAGCGTTCATCAATAGCTTTCAAAATCAAAGTCAGCACTTCATTCTCCTTCAGAGTATATGTAGATGCATCCAAAAGTCTTCTGTCAAGCTCTTCCTTTGTTTTCTGTAGCTTCTCTTGAATGATTTTCAAAGTGCCATCACAGAATTTGTGGATCTCTTCAACCACCATCAGGCGTTTTTCATCCTTGTGGTTCAGATAGACTGCTGCAGGTGGAGTGAAGAAGATGTCATAAGCAGGAAAGTCCTCAAGCTCCGGACCATACAGTTTTGGCTGAGACAGATTCGCTTTTGGGATATTATTCTCGAGAGCCATTTGGAAGTCATGGGAAGCGTTGACTCGGACTTGTCTCAGCATGAAACGCTTGATTGCTTCAAAACCTTCCTTTTAAGTTCGATTGTTTCTGACTGGTAGGTATCTGTACGCCATAAACACCCCATAGATATCATCCATTTTGAGCATTATGAAGTCATTTTATTGGCATACAAATTCGTTACTGTCCATGCGCTGGACTTTGTGGGAGTAGAATCTGATTGTATGATGATCTTCGGCCTTGACTTGTAGTATTGCATGAACAAGATGTGTACTAGACTTTAGAACTTTTTCCAAAAGTTATCGTTGAGGCCGTGAAGATCTATGAAGTAGCATGTGTAGGTGACCTCTTGCTTCTTTTCCTTTCAAATGTGTAAGTTCGCGCGCATCCTTAGTTCCCTTAAAGGTCTGACCTTCTCCAGTTTACGCCAGACACGCTTTCTGAGTTCCTCTTGGAAGGGGGCTTGGATTCTAACGTTCTCCCGAGGTTTCTCATTCTTGGGAAGTCGTCCTGCCGTTTGTCTGATTATTGATTCCAATTCCTTCGAAGTTTCTTTATAATTTTCCCCTTCATTGAGTTCCTCTTCATCAAGCCGGATGATGTCTGCTGCACATTTGGCGATCAGTTCTCGCAAGTACCAGATCTGCTGCATGTCTTCAATTTCTTCGTCACTACAAATTTGATCCCACTCCGTCCATTTCTTAGGACACTTGTCATGTATAATGATGTCTTCAAGTTCATCGTGCATTGCCTCTGATGAAGGAGTGGTAGGAGCTGGTGGACTTGGTCATGTCGGGGACCTGTAATCTGGAACATCGGGATCACAAGGATTTCCCGTTGTGATAAGTCCATTTTTGTACTTATTTTTCTTATCAAAATTAAGCGATTTTTGTATGGAAATTAGAAAAAAACAAGACACGTTTTGGATATTTTGGTTCAAGTTTCATGAATTCAGGTGAAAACTACAGTCATAATATGTTTGGTGAATTTTCGGGTCAATTGAGCACAAAATGAGTCAATTTGAGTAACAAAATAAATCCATATCTAAAGAAGAAAGCAAAATTTCAAAGTGGTCCAAAAGGGAAAGTTGAAGAGCACAAAATACAGAACACGACGGTCAAAGAAGCCCACAGGCGATCAAGTAGGCGGCCAGATCTGACCGCCCTCCAGACCGCCTACGCTATTTTTGGAAAGTCAACATTTTGGACTTTGACCGGACCCGGAAAAGACCGAAGGCTTTCGACACCCCACGAAGGGCGGCCGCCCTCGGTGACCGCCTACGGCACAAGACGACAAAGCCAACGACCGTCGGTGTGAAAAGACGGCAGGCGGCCAGACAGAAACGAAAGGTGACCGCCTTCCGTGACCGCCTGCGGCGAAGTGACGTCGCCACGTTTCGCTACCGGTGAAAAGACGGTAGTCGGCCAGATGAGGACGAAGGGCGGCCGCCCTCCAGACCGCCTACGGGGAAATTTGTGCTATAAATAGCCTGATTTTTGCTGAACTCAAACACACCACTTCCAACTCCAAATTAGTTCGAAAACCCCCCTTTCTTCTTCCATTTCCGTAGCTCCAAAGGGGTGAAAGAGGGAGAAACTTCAAATCTTCATATGTTCTTCATTTTAGCTTCAAATTGTAAGTTCTTTATATGTATTTTCATCTTCTCAACCAGTAGAATCTGAATCTGTGCTTTATTTTCTCGATCTGTTCTTCGAATTTTTCCAGAATATTTATCAAGTATTTCACATTTTCTTCCAAAACTTAAATAAAATAGTTGTTGATGTTGAATTCATTCCAAGTAATTATATAGTTGTTTACCAGCCTCAAGGTTGTTATTTATCTGAAGAAGTTTAATTTTCATGAAGTACAAGTAATTTGTAATTAATTTCGGTAATTAGTTGTTATTATTGCTTAAATTAAATTAATTAGTTAAAAATAGAAAAAATTATCAATTAGTTGTTAAAATAGGATTTTAGGTCTCATAATTCGTGAAAAATTCTAGATAGTTATATTTCAGTTCCTACAAGTTTATTTTTCCAGAATTTAATTTTTGTTTAATTTTTGCTATTATACATGTTTAATTCCTTGTTAATGTTTAATTTATTTACTATATTGTTGAATGCAAAAATAATGTTTAGTAGCTAAATTTGTTTTGGGCATGAATTGAATAAACGAATATGGATTGACTTGTTAGCCGAAAATTAGGGGTTAAAATTAACTAATTGGACTAGTTATTCAAATTGATGAAATAGTAATTAATAATTGTTAGCCATTTTCATTAATTAAATTTTGGAAAAATATTTCTAACTTGTCTATGAGATTAAAAAATAATTTGAGCTAACTTTATTCAAGCACATTAATAAGGCCTAGAAATAGGAAATTTTAATGAAAACGGTTTACATCTTGTCTATGGGAAATAAATTCAAATTGCTTAAATAATGAATTTAATTAGTTAATGAATTTGGCTCTTTTTATTAATTAAAATATTGGAGAATTATTTCTGTCTTGTCTATGAGATTAGAATTTAATTCAAGCCAACCATTTTTGAATACATTAATGAAACCTAGAAATAGGATAAATTAATGAAAGTAATTTCTATTCTTGTCTATAAGACTATAAATTATTAGTCCAATTTTAGTTTTAATTCCCCTAATTACTAGGCCCAAGAATATATTCATTTCTAATTACTCAATTCATTTCCCTTATTTGCCTCAATCTTTTCATTAATCTTTGGAATATTTGATCTTAAGCCTTCATTTTTAGTTGAAAATTTTTCCTAGTTATAATTTTGCAAAATTGGCCTAGTTTAGAACACAATCACCCTCTTTTGTATTGAAAAAGCTTCCAACGATTAGCGATAGCCCGTGACTAAGACTAAATTAAGAAAAGTCCTCCGCTTCGGGATGTTTCGTCTAGCTCGATCAGGCTAGATAGGTTGGTTAGGTTTAGGTTTTGGGTGGAGGCGGGTGTAGAAGAACAAAAGAGGGTTATGTATGACGTGATATAGAAGAACATAATCACCCTCTTTTTCACGAGTACTCCTTCTGTCCCTTATAACTTTGTCAACTTTTCTTTTTTAGATGTCCCACTAACTTTGTCACTTTTCCTTTTAAGTAAAGAATTTGTGGTTTTAGTTCATTCTCTCTCCTCTGCACAAACCTCAACCACACAATTGGATGTAATACTTTCTAAATTAGGAAAATATAAATTAGTAGTAGTCAATTTTTAACAATAATATATTTTAGAAATTACTCCAAATGGGACTAAAACTATGGCAAAAACTTAAAATAGGACTTACTATGTTTTTCTTTTCAAAAGAGAACCATATTAGTTCTATGGAAACATACCTATTTTTTCATTCCATTCTTACCCTTCATTTAAATATGAGTTAATTAAATGTTTAATTCATAATAAATTCGAAAAAAAATCAAAAATTCGTAGAAAAATAATTAAAAAAATGTAAAATATTTATCAAAATAAAAAATTAAAAAAGTAAGTTTTTATTTTTTTTATTTTTTAAAAAATTAATAAAAAATAGTAAAACTCCATAAAAAAATAAAAGAAATCTGGATGCCTTTCTCACCGCCTGTACTACCTCCCTGCACCACAATCTCCGGGCGGTGAAAATGGCATTCATAATGATCTTGACATTTTTTCCTCTGGTGAATGGAGGTGGTGGTCCAGAGACGGCAGAGGCGGCGGTGAATTTTATTTTATGTTTTTGAGTTTTTTATTTTTTGTTTTTTTTTTTATTTTTTTTTATTTTTGGAAAATAAATAAATAAAGTATCAATATCGAAATAGTTTTATTAATTTTTTAGTATTTTTTACGAATTTTATTATTTTTTATTATTTTATTATGAATTAAAACAATTAAATAGCTATAGGGGTATATTTGTCCAAGACACACATAATTAGTCCTGTGAAAACATAGTTTATTTTTTGTCAAAGTGAATCACTTTTAGTCCTATTTTGATAATTAATCCAATAATATATTATTGCACTCCTTAAACTATGGTGGGCTAAATTGAGCTGAGGTTAAACTTTTTAGAAGGATTTGCTTTTTAAATTATTTTATTTTATGGTGGGCTAAATTAAAAGAACGACTGCCGGCGCGCATAAGTAAGTGACGCCCGCCGCCAAGATGGATTTGCTTTTTAAACTATTTTATTTTATTGGTCTGCCGTTCTAGTAATTGCCAACGACGCTATATATTTAAGTGAAATCCACAATCTCCTTATCGATACCGATAATTCAGAGCACAAAACGTTAATCACCCAATTCGATCAACTGACTGGACTCTGTTACCGAAACCATGGATTTCGTCTTCAACCTCTTATCCCTCTTCCTATTCATCTCATTCACCGGATTGGTTGTAGCAGTCTCCACAGAATGGAAAAGGAAGAGGTCCTTGTCATCTAGAGGCGCGAAACTGCCTCCCGGGCCGTGGAGGCTTCCGCTCATCGGAAGCATGCACCACCTAGTCGGCGCCTTCCCGCTCCGGCGATTACGAGAGCTCGCCGAGAAACACGGCCCCCTCATGCACGTCCAGCTCGGAGAAGTCTCTGCCGTCATCGCCTCCTCCCCTGATATGGCGAAGGCGATTTTGAAGACCCACGACCTCGCCTTCGCCTCCCGGGCAAAACTCCTGCTCCCGGAGATCATCTGTTACCGGCGATCGGACATCGTGTTCTGTCCGTACGGGGATTACTGGAGGCAGATGCGCAAGATCTGCATCGTCGAGCTCCTCAGCTCTAAGAACGTGCAGAGCTTCGGTTCCATCAGGCGTGACCAAGCGTCACGTCTCCTGGACGCCGTCGCCTCCCACGGCGGCCGACCGGTGAATCTGACCGAACTCGTATTCCAATTCACGAGCTCGATGACTTGCCGGTCGGCATTCGGGAGCATTTTTAAGGAGGCCGACGAGTTCATCACTGTTATAAAGGAGATTCTGGCCCTGCTAGGCGGGTTCGACGTGGCGGACATATTTCCCTCCCTAAAATTCCTCCACGGCCTCAGCCCAATGAGGCGGAACATCCTCCGGATCCACCGGAAGGTCGACCGCATCCTCAACGCCATCATTGAGAGTCACAAGAAAAGCCTCGCCGCCGGAAATAACGGGAACGGGGAGTCAGGCGGCGAGGACTTAATCGACGTTCTGCTGAGGATGAAGCGTACCGACGGGCTTCAATTCCCGATCACCGATGACAACATCAAGGCGGTTGTGTTTGACCTGTTCACCGCCGGGACGGAGACGTCGTCGACGACGATCATTTGGGCGATGACTGAGATGCTGAGAAGTCCGACCACACTAGCCAAGGCTCAAGAAGAAGTGAGAAAAGCCTTCATAAACAACCCTTCATTCGACGTAAAAGACGTGGAAGAGCTCAAGTACGTCAAACTTGTGGTCAAAGAAACCCTCCGGCTCCACCCGCCGACGCCGCTCTCAATCCCGCGAGAGTGCATGGCGGAGACGGAGATAAACGGGTACACCATCCCGGTCAAAACATGGGTCATGGTCAACGTCTCGTCGATAAGCATTGACCCGGCTTACTGGGAGAATGCGGAGAGCTTTGCGCCGGAGCGGTTCGAGAATAGCGGCGTTGACTTTTTGGGGAATAACTTTGAGTTCCTTCCTTTTGGGAGCGGGCGGAGGATATGTCCGGGGTTGTCCTTTGGTCTGGCCAATGTTTATCTTCCTTTGGCTAAATTGCTCTTCCATTTTGACTGGAAGCTGCCCCGGGAAACAGAGTATTCTAAGAGCTTGGACTTGGCAGCAACGCCGGGGATTACTGCCGGGAAGAAGGACGATCTTTATTTGGTGGCTACACCATATGTTCAAAATTCTTAATTATTTAAGTTTATTGCTTAAATGGTTGGAGCAATAATGAAGGTCAAATTTAATTTGAATTCTTTCTTTTAAGCTTAATTTGTACACTTAGACATCTGGTACTACTGCTTAGTACTTGCTATTGAACGGTGAGGAAGTTTTTGATTGAAAATCAAATTCATCGTAAAGTTATAACTATGTTACAAATTTTATTTATAATGACAGGACTTTATATTGATATTAATTATTTAATCTTAAACTATATAATGTCAATACAAAAGAAATGGGATTGATAGAGTTTTTTGAAGATTTGCCAAAACTTGTAGAGGATTTGACATGAATGTGAATTTTGTCACGAGCTATTTGACATGAAATGATCGATCAATCTATACCAAACTATTTGACATGAAATGATCGATCAATCTATACCAAATTTGTGTCAATGTCGTTGTATTAGCTTCAATTCAAAAAAGATCACCTCACAAAGTTCTGGCATGAATCACCATCTGAATATATCTATTTGAGATGATTTCCGATGTAATTTGTAATTTTTTATATACATTTCGACAATGTTTTCCATAATTTATTTATTTGACATCTCGATTAAATTTCAAACTAAAATTTTATGAACATAACCTACACTTTATTAAGAACATGCTCACACACTTTTAAAAAGTGTTCCTGTGAGAACTCCAAAGGTGATAATTTCTCTTATTCTTTTAATCTAAAGGATATATAACTAATGTATAACTCTTAATACACTATACCACACTTTCAAATGAGCCACCGTGATTGACACATATTTGTAGCAAGGAATTGCCGAAACACATAGAACGAAACCTTATCGGAACATAAATAATCGAACCCCTTACATTTTAACCCCTCACATTTTTGCAATATACTACGCATGAAGAATATATTAGCATCAATATACATATTATTCTGTTAATGTAAACAATTAATACATAATTGATGTATAACTCTTAATACACCATCTCTAAACTTTTAAATGAACCACCATCTTGCAAGTATAAAAATAAAATGCAACATAATACATGAAGTTTCGGAACTTGTTCTCGTGTTATATACTATCATCCGTATCGCATTAATTACAACATTGGAATATATACACTATTCAATTACTTTACTTTGACGACATTTTATTTATTGAAAAATATTGTTAAATTCATCTCATTACTAAGTTTTATAATCTGATTTTTATTTTATTTTTACTAATAAAGAATTAAATATAATGACGATCAAAGTTGTGCGTTGGTAGATTGTGTGCGTTGACAAACGTTGTCTGTTGTAATTAAAAAGAGACGGAGACGGAGACGGAGGAAGTATCTAACAATAGTATTCCACACGTTACACAAGGTTAACATATTACAGATACAACATAAGTATATAAATATTTAACATATTAATAGGCCTCTATAATATATATAGGCCTACGCTGCAGATGGAGTATTGACATAACGCGCCTCAATAAGCTCGAACTTGGCAGCCGCCGTCTTCTTCGGCTCACGGCTATGCGGCTTGTAATGGATACTGATGTCCAAGCTCCGGTCGTTGTAGATCTCCCACCACTTCCTCACAAGTGTCTTCATCTCCTCTCTGTCCATGTGATCGCCTTTTCCGGTGTACCTCCACGGCTTGGCGCCGTCGACGCAGTAATGGACGACTTTGGCTTTGCTGAGCTGGACTTTGTCTGGATGGCGCCACAACATGTTGACCAACATGTTGTACACGTATGGGAGGGGCTTGCACTTGTCTTTGAAGAACATGTTTAGGAAATCCTACAATAAGAAATGCCTCTTTTTTTAGCAACAAGTTGGGTGCTCATTCAGTTTTTCTGTTATTAGGATTGCGTGCTTCAATTCACTTCCAAAAATCAATAAGAATTTTTGTGACTAAATTGACAGATTTTGAAATATTATATTACAAATAAATTTCATTAATGAATTGAAGAAAAAATTATGTAAAAAATAATTAAAATAGTCATCAATAATATCTTTAACCTTATTTTTTCTTAAGATTAAGAAATTCAGTGCCTGAAATGAGATCATTCAACCATTTGAGCTGAAAGTTGGAGAGTATAGAGCTCTGAAATATATTATGGCCTCCGTAATTCACTCAATACTTATATAACACGACTCAGAAACAGAGCAAAGATAATCTATCTTATTGCTACGAGCTAGTGCCTATTTATGTAAAGTGCATATGAAAGATTCTCCTTCCATTCTGTATATATATTGAGCTTTGACCCTCTTGAGTCATTTTTCAGGCTGCTACGCTCCTAATGGAGGGCCAGCCCTAACCCTGTCCAACACATATTTTAAAAATGTTTATATAGGCCCCCAAGAATGAGAATCAATGCCATAGACAAAATATGTATACTACGTATAACTAAAAATGTACACAAAAAATAACTGTGGGTAAATTGCACCTAGACAATAAATGTGGACAAGTCTTTACTACCTGCTCTGCGAAGGCAGTTGGAGGGGTGACTTTGAAAGTCTTCAAAAGCTGCTTGTAAGTTGAAAGGCTTGGTTGGAACATAAACATGCCTCCATTGAAATAAAAGAAAGGCCTAGGCCCCAATACGTCGGGCCAGGGGAGCGTATCTGGACAGGGTGGCCCATTTTCTTCGCACACACAGTCCGGAACCGCGTATAGATATCCGTCCGGCAGATCAAACAGATGATCTATGTTTTGGAATACTTGCATGTCCGAATCCAAGTATATCATTTTGCTATATTCCGTAAACTACAAAATAAATAAACAAAAGAATTAAATAAATACACGCACCACATTGAATCTATGTTTCTTATTGCTCGAACAATAACAAGACGTTTATATTTAGAGCATGTTTGACTCAATTAAATGATATTTAGAGCATGTTTAACTGAAAAGATTTTTTATAAGTTTTAAAAGTAAAAAGGAGGTAGCTATTTGATAAAAAGTTTATTGTTTTATTTAATTATGTTTGGTATACTTGTGAGTTTTAATTTTAAAAGTATGACTTATACTTTTAAAAGTATTACTTTTAATTTTAAAAGTATGACTTCTCTCAGATGCCTACCAAACATGCAAAGTGCACTTAATACTCTAATTTTAATACTCTAATTTTAATACTCTAATTTTAAGTTAGCTATCTTTGATTGGAACTTTTAATCAAAGATGTTAGACTTTAACAAGTGACGGACCCATAACCTTTTTTAAGTTGGGCCCTTCCGCATAGATTTCATTTTATAGTATTTTTCATACTATAAAATGATCAAGATTTCATATCTGGACTAGAATCATGTCGAATGTTACACATTCGCCCACAAAATTTGTTGTTACTTTGTCTGGAATATAATACTATCGTGTTAAAAATGAAGTATACTATCATGTTAAAAATGAAGTATACTATCATGTTAAAAATGAAGTATAAATCATGTTTATGATTTCATCCTTTAATACTTTATTTAATAATATGATTCTATATATCTAACATTTATCATATTTATAGATGAGAAATTAAAAAATTCAAAGAGCGTTGATTTGAAACTAATTTATCGCGAATTGACACTTTTTCATGTATGAATCTTTAACTTTGGACAAATATTATTTGCACTAGGTAAGAAAATCATCAATGCTACTTTCCAAAAAAGTGTAGTAATCACATCAACAACATGCCTAACTATAAGGATTTGCTACATCACAGCTTCAAGGTTGTTTATAATTTACTCCCTCCGGTTCTCAAACAACTTCCCACTTTCCTTTTCGGGAAGTCCCGAAATTAACTTCACACTTCTTCCTATTTCCTTATTTGGCAAATTATCTACACCAAAACAGTGTCAAACAGTGTTCAAACAGTAAAGTCAAATTTATTTTCTTAATCTGTGTGAAATCAAACTGTGAAGCTCTTTGAGAACCGGAGGGAGTATAACACTATATCTTACTACTATTGTTATGTCTTCAATGGAGTCCTATATAATTTAAAGTTTTTTGAAATAATGACAATATGATTGAAATAAAAGTAGTAGACGACAACTTAGTAACTACCGTAATATTTATGTCCATTAGTTCCACTTCAGTAATATTTATGGAAAAATCTATAATTTTTGTGACCGGGTAGCGAGGCACAAATTTTATCTTAAGTACTAATCTTAAACTCGGGGTCGGAAGCGGGGGCACTTGCCCCCAGGACCCCCTAGGTCCTCCACTGACTTTAACCAATTATATGAGTATATTTTTATACAAAAATGAAATGTTATTCACTAAAATATACATAGTAAATATTAAAACGATTGACTAATTTTACTCAAAGTAGAAAAATCAAAGATGACTAATTAAAAAGAAACAAAATATTTCACTAATTAAAAAGAAACAAAATATTTCACTAATTATTACCGTACAAGACTTTAAACAATACGATCCTATTTATGAAGAAAAAACATGACAATCTTATTTTAAAATTGTCGAACGTTTTTACTCGTGTTTCATGAATTTTCACACTAAATTAAACAAGCCAGCTCATCTAACCTGCCAAAATTGGAGCTTAGAGTAGTTGACAACATAATAATCCCGAGCAAACGGAGACTTGTACTTGTCTGAAGGGTACAATGGCTCAATTCCACGGACAAGGCAGCCCTGCGCTACCAGCAAGCGGCGGTGCTCTTCCGGGACATCCGGCCAAACCGCCGCAACCACCGGGTAAGCCGTGCCTACTTTTCTCAGTCCCTTCACCAACCCGACCACGCCTTTCACGTAGTCGCCATCGCCGGCGAGAAACGTCACGTATGCCCGCCCCGCCGTGGGCCTGGCCGACCCTACACCGCTGTTGCTTGCATCAGGAGCCATTTTTTATAATTTTTAGGACTTAAAATTAAATTTCTTTGATCTGAGGGAACTCGTAATATTTTAAAACTGCATTTAAGGGTAATAATTTGCATGAAAATTGGGGTGCATGACATCTACATTTGTAGGGCTGGTAGTGACAAACAGTACGATGTCGTTTTTGTGATCCCCGCGACAAGTCACCAAACTGACCGTTGAGACGTTGCTCTAGTGCTGCCACGTTTCCAGCTCGGTCGTCATCAATTAAAACACTATTCGACCACGTGGAGACTTAAACTTTTTTGCCACGTGGCGTGACCTAGCATTCCTGAGTGTCATATACAAAGTTTTATCCAAATCTAGCACTAGAATATGGGCGAACATCTATTGTGCAATGAAGGGTAGAAATGCAGAGTGGGGTGAGCTAAACAGTAAAAAAAATGATTATTGCGCACAAAAAGTTTAGTTTAAGGCTGTTATCGAACTGAGCTTTTTTTGAAGTATTCAAGTTGGAGCGTTATTTCGAATTTAATTTAACAACCCGAGCTTAACGAGCTCGAGCGTAGTGATATTCGGTTCGATTCGAACTCGAGCCTAGCGATAACTCACAAATTATAGGAATAAAATTTATATATCTTAATATTTAAATGTTTTAGTGCAATTTTATAATTTTTTAATGATTATTAAAGATCCTGGTATTTATTGATATGAATTAAAGTACTTCTATAAAGGTAGAAAACTAATAAGTAAAAACAATCGGTGTCATATATATAATTAATAAGTATTCCTAGTTTCAAAATTGAATTGAGATTTTTAATTTTTTCATATATTTCCAAACAATAAATAAATCTAGAGCTATTAGGTAGTATATAAATGTAATATTAGATAAAAACATGGAAAAAATTACACTATGCAATTTTATAACAAAAGTATATATTTACAGTTCTAAAAATCACAAAGTAGTAGTTCCTATACAATAATATGATTTTAAGGAAAGAATTGCTTGCCCTAGTGGTTGCCTTGAGCTTATATTTATAATAAATAATGTTTAAAGAATTACAAAATGATCCCCTCAATTTAATTTACATTATTAGTTCTAACTACACTTGTTGCAAAAACTAGAACTAGATAAGTAATTGGACAATGAAATAAGCATAATAATAATGATGATGATGATGATGATGATTATGATAATGATGATGATCATGATGATGATGATGATGATGATGATAATGATGATAATGATGATAATGATGATGATAATAATAATAATAATAATAATAATAATAATAATATTATATGACTAAACAAGGGTAGTGGATAAAAAGTGACTTAGTTATTAAAATAATTAATTATGTCTAATTTTTACAATTAGAGTGATCTAAATTGTACTCATAGTGACATTAGTCCAAAAAGATCCTTATTCTTATGCTTGTAATCTCTGTGTCCCGCTAACAATGGGACAAGAAAGAGTGACACACAAATTAATAAAAAGTGGTTTATATATGTGGTAGATATTGAATTGATAAAGTAAGAATGATTTAGAGTCACACAAACTTTACCAAATTTGGTATGAGACAATCTTAGTGGAACGGACCGATGAGGTAAAATGGAACAATCATAGCGGGACAGAGGTAGTAATATTTTAGAGAAAGAAACTCTTGATAATAATAGTAGTATTACTATATTAATAATAGTAATATAATGTAATAATATAATAACAATCGTCAAGTTAATGTTAGCATAATCATTTTGTAAATTAATGTTGTAATATAAAATATAAAATGCTAGAAATTTCAAAGGGGTACATTGATGGTGTGGGGTGACTGGGTGAGATAGGTTTGCACCTAGCACTAGCAAATACGAGTATTGTACTCCGTATGTGAATTTTTGTTCTCATTTTTTCCCACAGCGGTTGCAAAGGATGTTCATCCTCCTGATTGGCCTATAAAAAAATTGCTCCTTACGCCCATTAAACCAATTGCTCAGCTTTATGCACTGGGGTATATGAGGCTTTTGGCTTAAACCTTGAGCTTGAGCTGCATTTTAGGGTGGGTTGGACAACACTTTTAGGGTGGGCTAGATACCAAAGCTATACCCATATTAATAGAAAAAAATGGGTTGGGCTGGGCTGAAGCCCACCCCTGCCCCTTCATAGATCCGCCCCTGGTGCAATCTATTACGAAGTATTTATGATCTTATGAGATAAATAAAAATGAATTTGTACCGTTAAATTGTATAATGTGAAATTCAATGTACATTAAGTGAAACCGAAGTGTGGATTAGGTGAAACTAAAATGTGCAAAATAAAAACATACGATATGATGTCATTTTTGTACGGAGTATATTTTGTATATTCTACACATTTCAATTTCACTTAATGCACACTTGAGTTTTCTTTTTTATTCTTCACAATTCAATTTTATCTAATGCAAATTTCAGTTTCATCAAATGTACAATTCACGTTCACATAATACAATATGATGGTTCAGATTCATTCTTATTTCTCTCTTGAGAGTCATTTCTCATCAGAATCGCTCCCTATATACGTATACACGGAGTATCAATTATCCAAAAGTATACATACATACACACACACACACACACACACACACACACACACACACACACACACATATATATATATATATATATATATATATATATATATACACACACACACACACACACACACACACACACATGACACATACACATATATACATATGCGTGTGTGTGTGTGGGCGGCATATATATATGTGAACTGTTAGAGGCCGTTTGGCAACACTGTTTTTCGGCTTATCAGACTTATCAATCAACTTTCTCACCAAATACGTAACTTTTGCTTTCGCGCGCTAAATCGTGTAATAACCAGAAAAAGTAAAGTTGAAGTTACTTTTCTTGCTGTATTGGCTGAAGATACGTACTGTAGATGACTATTTCGACTATTTTTATATATAATTTTTTCTTTATTTTATTAATAAAACATATTTTAAAAATATTTTTTCCTAAAAACAGCAGAATCAACCAATGCAGTCACTTCAGCCAGAATTTCATAAATGTCAGCAAAATCAGCCAAATCAGTCGATTTCTATGCTACCAACCGAGTTCTTAGTATAAGAGACAAGAAAGAGTATAATAATTTTTTCAAAAAATAAATCTTTGTATCAGCTCACTCAAAATATATATTAGCGTCCTGCCTAAAATGACATTTACACATTATGGATCAAATAAAAATACAATCTCATGAAAATTGTAAAGGGTTTCACATTTTACCTTATTTGATGCACTATTAAATACTCCCTCCGTCCCGTTAAGATTGTCCCATTTATTTTTTCGGGAAATCCCACTAAGATTGTCGCATACCAAATTTGGTAAAGTTTGTGTGGCTCTAAATTAAATGATTTTTATTTTATCAATTTAATATCAACAACACAAACCCACTTTTCTTAATAATCGTGCCACCTTCTTTTGTCCAAATCTTAGTGGGATGAAGTTAGTGTGAATCTTCTGCATGCCCTTTTTCATTTGAGAGGAAACTTTGATTTATTTATCAATCAAATGAAATCACCATTAAGAAGATAAATTAGAAGGAATAATAAGCGTTAGATTTGGGAATCGTATATTATGTGAAACAAAATGTGCACTATCATAAATAAGAAAATGCAATGACATTTTTGTAAATAAATTTACCTTTTATAACAATTAAAGTGTGCATTTTTTTGACCATAAATGTCCACCTCCATAAACAAGTGCATATCATTTCCAATGTTCTCGTTTCTCACAGGAAGAAGCATGCTCACGGCTAATTCTTGATATTTGTACTAAGTCAATATATACTAATTTATTCTTCTCACAGGAAGAAGCATGCTCACTGGCTCTGATGCCAAATTTGTACGTGTACGGTGACAAATGATGAGCACGTGTACGGTGACAAATGAAGTCACGGGACAACCTAGCTCTGATACCAAATTTGTAACGCCCCTCTCAGGGTTAAAGGAAACGTTACATAAACTTACTACTATATAAAAAAACTGCAATATAACGGCCGTTTATTTAAGAAATAACCCTGATAAAAATCTCAAATATAACAAAATTATAGCTCCAAATAAAAACTCAAAAAAATCTAGTTATCACCAGCAAATGTGATAACCACCTGGATCCAGGAATTTACTAAAACTTCAAATCCTCAAATAAAATGAAGTAACATTAATCAGTTTATTATAACATCTGAAATATTTAAATAATATAATAACTAGCTAGAAGTCGCCAAGGTCGTTCCCGTTAACTCATCTTGGCACACGTTCCACTCCCTCATCATTTTCCTAGGCCTTGGCCTTACCTTTAGTATCTGTACATGCGAAGAAAGAAAACTCACAAGCTTTACGCTTAGTAAGTCACTATGGATCCACAAAAATATTTGAGAAGTCTGTGCTAATTTATCAATAGATAAATTTAGGCTATAAGCATGCACTAAACAAACAACTAACAAGTAGCTTCTCAAATAAATTCTGAGAGAGATCCCAAAGAAATATTTTCTAAAATAATTTCTCAAAACTGCTAGAGAAATCTCAAAATTTCTTTCTCAAAACATCTCTGTAAAACTTTCTGAAAGAGATCTCAAAAATAACTTTCTATAAAACTCTTTGTGGCTAATTTTAACTGTGGGCCCGTGATATGTACTCAAAGGCGCCAATCCGACAGCTCAGGGGAGCGACCCACTAAACATATCGGACTCTCTGAAACTGATAAACTGATAATCTGAGGGAACTTGTTCCCGAGTACATATCACCTGATCTTTCACTTTAAATATTAGTTCTTTTTATGGTGACGTTTGAGTAAAAACATCATCAAAATCTTGAAATAAAGTACTAACATAATCTTGACTATGTCCGATAATAAACATAACTTAACACAACAAATAAAATAGCTCAGCAAATAGTTCACTAGGTTCACATAATAGCACATAGACTAAAATCATCTATTAAAAATCAACCAGACTTCTGTCTTTTATTTGATAAAACAAACATGTACAGGTGGTAGTGAACTTACCTGAATAAGCTGAACTCAAAATACTTGAATAAGTGTGGCACCTTGATAACGTCTTCCG